TCATAATCTCCCTAGGGCACAAATACCATAGAGCCAATCCCTAAGTCCAATAGCATAATTTCTGTTGCTTAAAACAGTAACAGGAACTAGTTCAGGCTGTGGTTATGTCTCCTAATGGCTGCTTTGTATTCTCGTGTGCTCTTTTGTCCTCTATTCACAATAGCAGTAATTACTTTCCCAAAATCTAGAAAAGGGAGTTCTGAAAAAAGTACATAATTAATGTTGCCAAGAAGTTAATTAACTTGATTGACTTAAAGTGAATCTTTATTAGTTGCTTTAAATATTGTACAAACGGCAATAAGAAATGAAAAAAAAAAGGGAACAGAGTGATAGTAACAAAAACTGCATGGTGTTGGCATAAAAACAGACATATAGACCCATGGTACAGAATAGAAGACACAGAGACAAATCCACACATCTATAGGCATATCATCCTTGACAAAGGTGTCAAAAACATACATTGAAGAAAAGGCAGACTTTTTAAAACAGAATTAAATTTATTATATATGACAACAGAATGCATTACAATTCATATTACACATATAGAGCCCAATTTTTCATATGTCTGGTTGTACACAAAGTAATGTCACATCCTTCATGTCTTCATACTTGTACTTAGGATAATGGTGACCCACACATTCCACCATCTTTCCTACCTTATTCCCACTCCATTCCCCTCCCTCCTCTTTTCCCCTTTGTCCTATCTAGAGTTCATTTAATTCGCCCATCCCCGCCCACACAGCATATTATGAATCAGCACCCTTAAATCAGAGAAATAACTGGGCATTTGGTTTGGGGGATTGACTAATTTCACTTAGCATTATATTCTCCAACTTCATCCATTTACCTGAAAATGCCATGATTTTATTCTCTTTTAATGGTGAATAATATTACATTGTGTATATAGACTACATTTTCTTTATCCATTCATCTATTGAAGGGCATCTAGGTTGGTTCCACAGTTTAGCTATTGTGAATTGTGCTACTATAAATATTGATGTGGCTGTGTCCCTGCAGTATGCTGTTTTTAAGTCCTTTGGGGTAGAGACCGAGGAGTGGGATTGGTGGGTCAAATGGTGGTTCCATTCCAAGTTTTTCAAGGATTCTCCATACTGCTTTCCATATTGGCTGTACCAACTTGCAGTCCCACCAGCAGTGTATGAGTGTGCCTTTTCCCCCACATCCTCACCAGCACTTATTGTTGTTTGTATTCTTAATAGCTGTTATTTTGACAGGAATGAGATGAAATCTTAATTTTGATTTGCATTTCTCTAATTGCTAGAGATGTTGAACATTTTTTCATATATTTGTTGATTGATTGTAAATCTTCTTCTGAAAAGTGTCTGTTCAGTTTCTTGACTCATTTATTGATTGGGTTATTTGTTTTTTTGGTGTTAAGATTTTTGAGTTCTTTATATACCCTAGAGATTAGTGTTCTATCTGATGTACATGTGGTAACAATTGGCTCCCAAGATGTAGGCTCTCTATTCACCTCATTAATTGTTTATTTTGCTAAGAAGAAGCTTTTTAGTTTCAATCCATCCCATTTTTTATTCTTGATATTAATTCTTGTGCTATAGGAGTCTTATTAAGGAAGTTGGGGCCTAATACGACATGATGAAGATTTGAGCCTACTTTTTCCTCTATTAGACATAGTGACTCTGGTTTAATTCCTAGGTCTTTGATACATTTTGAGTTAAGTTTTGTGCATGGTGAGAGATAGGGATTTAATTTCATTTTGTTGCATATGGATTTCCAGTTTTCCCAGCACCATTTGTTGAAGAGGCTATCTTTTCTCTAATGTATGTTTTTGGTGCCTTTGTGTAATATAAGATAACTATAATTATGTGGGTTAGTCTCTGTGTCCTCTATTCTGTACCATTGCTCTATCAGTCTATTTTGGTGCCTATACCATGGTGTTTTTGTTACTATTGCTCTGTAGTATAGTTTGAGGTCTGGTATAGTAATGCCACCTGCTTGACTCTTCCTGCTAAGGATTGCTTTAGCTCTTCTGGGTCTCTTATTTTTCCAAATAAATTTCATGACTGCTTTTTCTAATTCTATGAGGAATTTCATTGGGATTTTGATTGGAATTGCATTAAACCTGTATAGTGCTTTTGGTAGTATGGTCATTTTGACAATATTAGTTCTGCCTATCCAAGAACAAGGGAGATCTTTCCATCTTCTAAGGTCTTCTTTAATTTCTTCCTTTACATTCTCTAGTTTTTGTTAAAGAGTTCTTTCACCTCTTTCAGTAAGTTGATTCCCAAGTATTTTATTTTATTTATTTTTTTTAATTTTTATTGGTGGTTGTTCAAAACATTACATAGTTCTTGATATATCATATTTCACACTTTGATTCAAGTGGGTTATGAACTCCCATTTTTACCCCGTATACAGATTGCAGAATCACATCAGTTACACATCCATTGATTTACATATTGCTATACTAGTGTCTGTTGTATTCTGCTGCCTTTCCTATCCTCTACTATCCCCCCTCCCCTCCCCTCCCCTCCCCTCCCCTCTTCTCTCTCTACCCCCTCTACTGTCATTCATTTCTCCCTCTTGTATTATATTTCCCTTTCCCCTCACTTCCTCTTGTATGTAATTTTGTATAACCCTTAGGGTCTCCTTCCATTTCCATGCAATTTCCCTTCTCTCTCCCTTTCCCTCCCACCTCTCATCCCTGTTTAATGTTAATCTTCTTCTCATGCTCTTCGTCCCTACTCTGTTCTTAGTTACTCTCCTTATATCAAAGAAGACATTTGGCATTTGTTTTTTAGGGATTGGCTAGCTTCACTTAGCATAATCTGCTCTAATGCCATCCATTTCCCTTCTATGATTTTGTCATTTTTTAATGCAGAGTAATACTCCATTGTGTATAAATGCCACATTTTTTTTTATCCATTCGTCTATTGAAGGGCATCTAGGTTGGTTCCACAGTCTTGCTATTGTGAATTGTGCTGCTATGAACATCGATGTAGCAGTGTCCCTGTAGCATGCTCTTTTTAGGTCTTTAGGGAATAGACCGAGAAGGGGAATAGCTGGGTCAAATGGTGGTTCCATTCCCAGCTTTCCAAGAAATCTCCATACTGCTTTCCAAATTGGCTGCACCAATTTGCAGTCCCACCAGCAATGTACAAGTGTACCCTTTTCCCCACATCCTTGCCAGCACTTGTTGTTGTTTGACTTCCTAATGGCTGCCAATCTTACTGGAGTGAGATGGTATCTTAGGGTGGTTTTGATTTGCATTTCTCTGACTGCTAGAGATGGTGAGCACTTTTTCATGTACTTGTTGATTGATTGTATGTCCTCCTCTGAGAAGTGTCTGTTCAGGTCCTTGGCCCATTTGTTGATTGGGTTATTTGTTATCTTATTGTCTAATTTTTTGAGTTCTTTGTATACTCTGGATGTTAGGGCTCTATCTGAAGTGTGAGGAGTAAAGATTTGTTCCCAGGATGTAGGCTCCCTATTTACCTCTCTTATTGTTTCTTTTGCTGAGAAAAAACTTTTTAGTTTGAGTAAGTCCCATTTGTTGATTCTAGTTATTAACTCTTGTGCTATGGGTGTCCTATTGAGGAATTTGGAGCCCAACCCCACAGTATGTAGATCATAGCCAACTTTTTCTTCTATCAGACGGCGTGTCTCTGATTTGATATCAAGCTCCTTGATCCATTTTGAGTTAACTTTTGTGCATGGCGAGAGAAGGGGATTCAGTTTCATTTTGTTGCATATGGATTTCCAGTTTTCCCAGCACCATTTGTTGAAGATGCTATCCTTCCTCCATTGCATGCTTTTAGCCCCTTTATCAAAAATAAGATAGTTGTAGTTTTGTGATTGGTTTCTGTGTCCTCTATTCTGTACCATTGGTCCACCTGCCTGTTTTGTTACCAGTACCATGCTGTTTTTGTTACTATTGCTCTATAGTATAGTTTGAAGTCTGGTATCGCTATACCGCCTGATTCACACTTCCTGCTTAGCATTGTTTTTACTATTCTGGGTCTTTTATTTTTCCATATGACTATGCTGAGCTCACTTTAGTCAGACTGGCAATCATCAAGAATACAAATACTAAATGCTGGAGAAGATATAGAGGAAAAGAAACAATTTTGTGTTGTTGGTGGAATTGTAAATTAGTACAACCACTATGGAAGTCAGTATGGAGTTTTCTGAAAAGACTAGGCATGGAATCACCATAACCCAGCTATACCACTCCTCAGCCTTTGACCTGAAGAATTGAAGTCATCATTCTATAGTGATACATGCATACCCATGTTACAGCAGCACGATTCCACAATAGACAAACTATGGAATCAGCCTAGGTATCCATCAATGGACAATGGATGAAGAAAATGTTATATATATATATATATATATATATATATATATATATATATATACACACACACACACACACACACACACACACACACACACATATACACATACGCATGGAGTTTTATTCAGCCATAAAAAAGTGAAATTATGTCATTTGCAGGAAAACAGATGGAAGTAGAGATCATTCTGTTAAGAAAAAGAAGTCAAACTCAGAAGGTCAAGGGTCGTATGTTTCTTCTCATATGAGAAAGCTAGATTGGAAAAGGAAAAGAAAGATGGGGGTGGATCTCATGAAAATCAAAGGGAGATCAGTAAAGGAAAGGGACCAAAGGGAAAGTGGCGGGATGTGTGTTGGGGAGTGATATTGGCCAGGTTATATTATTATATTTTGTGCATGTATGACTGTGTAACAACAAATCCTATCAGTATGTACAATCATAATGCACCAATAAAAAATGTGGAACAAAAGAGAAATTAAACAAAAGGAGATAACACATAGAGTCAAAATAGGAAAGCGATGTAGGAGAAATGGGCTCAATATCTTAGTGAAATTCAGGTGTTTATAAAAATGTTTAAATATATTTTTGAAAATGCATATTTAACATGAGATATACCCTAAACATTTTTAAACCAATAACTTACCATTCATTTTGTCTTTTCAGGGAGAGCCTGGAGTTAGAGGCCCTCCAGGTCCTGTCGGGCCTCGGGGAATAGGAACCCAAGGGCCAAAGGTGAGTTCTCAGGTCTGTGCTCTATGTGAGAGTCAGATGCAGGTTGAGCATCCCTAAAAATCTAAAAAGTCAAGAATCTGAAGTGCTCCAACTTCCAAAACTTTTGAACACCAACAGGATAGTTCAACATCTGACCTCATGTGATGTGAGGCAGTCAAAACCTCGGCCTAAAATTATGCCCAGCTATATGTATAAAGTGCGTATGAAACATAAATGAGTTTTGTACTTATATTTGGATACCATACACAAAAGGTCTCAGTATATATATGTAAAAAGATCTGAAAAAATTCCCCAAAATCTGAAACACTTCTGGTCCCAAGCATTTCAGATAAGGGATACCCACCCTGTACCTGTGCCATCAATGCCAAACAAGTGAACAGCAACTTCAAAGTACGTGTTTGTGTTGGTGTTGACTTGTTCTTTCCTTGATTACCTATGAAAAGTCTTATTTTTTCACATCATATGAACTTTCAGTAAAATGGACCATTTAAATTTATAAAGCCATGTGCTTCCTCAAAAGAAATTAGAAAGCGGCCTCCCTTAGGTAGTTGCCAAGAGCTCAGAATATTTCTAGGTTTCGTATAGGCTGTGCTGTCATCAAGAAGCACGTCTTTGCTTTGGCCAGAGGTGCTTCAGGTGGCCTTTCAGCAGGTCACTCAGGGGCTCATGTATCTACTGTGTCATATGCCACATTCGCTTGGGCAGAGCCTGGGTGCAAGGATCTAGATTTATTGTCCCCATAGAAGGTGAGAACTTCCTTTGTCCCCTTTGTCCTTATTTTTATGTCTCCTTCTTTTTCTCCTCCAATTTTAAGATAATTCATCCTTTTATTCTTTTAATCCAGTATTTCTCAGTGAGGGAGATTTTGTCCTTCCCCCTGACCTCCAGAAGGACATTTGGGCTGTCACAGCTCGGGGTGCTACTAGAATTTAGTGGGTAGGGCCCAAGAACACTGCTAAATATCCTACGATGAACAGGATGGCTTTTCATAATAATCATCTGATTCAAAATGTCAATATGTTTTCATAGAGTTTGGAAAACTGTTTTGTTTATTCATTTATTTAGGAAATGTTTTTGATTTGTTCAAAAAAAATGAGGTGAGAAGTATCAGACATGTTCATAGGGAAAATAGGTATCAATGAACTGTCATCATAGATTCAAATTTCAAATAGATATATGTACACCCCAAATGTACAGAGTGAATGTGAACCCCATGATCAGAAAAAAAGACTTTCTGAGTCAAAGATTTTACTGAGAATCCCAGAATTACCAGGATTGCAATTTATCCCTTATTTGTCTATTAACTCCATGTGGCAGCAAGCTATTTTTGAGCCCTAATAGATCCCTTTATATATAAAGATCCCCTACCATCCCCCACCCCCAGATGTTAAAAATCATTATCTCATTGGGTGATGAGAATATGGATCCACTTATCTCCTTATTGTCATCTTCATTTCTGGTCTTAAATAGTTTTGCAATGAGGAAGTAATCAAATAAAATAAACTTTTTTTCATATTGAAATGAAAAAGACTGACTTATATAGTAATGTATATTAACCCACAATTTCTCAGAGTTTGTTCTATTCAATGTTAATATAGGAGTTTCTGAGATAAACAAAGATAATCCCTATTAGGAGACTTCTTTGAACCTTTCATGTATGTGCCATATAACAACCTTTCGGTCCAGATCATACTGCACATATGAGGGTAGGTGTAATGCCTAGTGATGTCACAGCCATCTTAATTTGTATAAGTACATTGTGATGTTTGTACAAGAAACAGTCACTATGCATTTGTCAGATCATATCCCCATCCTTAAGGGCTGCATGGCTGTATTAATGGGCACTGGAGATTTCCATGGGGAGGCACATAGTATTTTCTAATCTGACTCCACCATTAAAGAGTCTTTCCTCAGAAAACATGGGGTCATCTTATGAATATACCCTGGGAAATGCTGCACTTACTTACTATCTCATGTTTTCATAGAAAGGTGAATACGGGCCCACATCAACATTCACTAAACCTTTAGCGCCATATTGAAGCAGAATAACATGTCACAGGTCCCACAGAATCCTGCATCAGTGGTTGTCAGATTTGGTGTGGGGCAGAGGAGCCAAGCAGGGCCTCTCCTTCTGTCTACTCCTCTCAGCTCTGCCTTTACCTCTTTATTTATATTTGGATTACATGTAAGATTTTGTTTGCAAACCATCTGAGTAGCCTAAAAATATTTAGAACAACACTGCTTTAAATAAAATATAAAATAGCTTATGGATAGCAAGAAGCTCCTAATTAGGCTAAAGAAAGAATTTAAGCTGAGAGTAGTAATATTTACAATTTTTTTCTCTCTCAATCTTCTTACACTTTATTTTCAGTTTCTCTCCATTTTCTCACAGGGTGATATTGGGCAAAAAGGTTTGCCTGGCCCCCCTGGTCCCCCTGGCTATGGATCACAAGGAATTAAAGTAAGTGAATGTGATTGTGCTGGAATCCTTGCTCAACTCCACAGGGCGATGAGAAGAGGCTGTGGATAATGCAAAATGTGGCTATTATGAAATGGATTTAATGCAAGGTTAGCAGTTAAAATTGCATCTAGTATTTAGAGAGATCATCCAGAAGTGTAGAAATGGTATAAGCACAATAGTTTCATGGAGGCTTAACATTATCAAATTGGTTGGTGGAAAAATCTGGTGGTTTCTTCTTTGTGGTTTCTGAGCTGAATGGAGACTTCATGCCAGCTCTGTGTTCCCTAGCTCTCACCTTCCTGACCTGTAAGCTTCCTTCCCTGGTTGGGCACTTTCCAGTCTTAGCTATGAATGGAATCACATGGGGGAGGTTTCTGAATAGTATTTATATCCTGCACTAGAAGACTAAAATCTGAATCTCTGGGGGGCTAGCTATTGAGTACTGTTCTTTGTTTGCTTGTTTGCAGTACTGGGGATTGAACTCAGCGTCTCCTGCATACTAGGCAAGCACCTCAGCACTGAGCTACATCCCCAGTCCTTTTCTAAATTTTATTTTGAGACAGGGTCTTTCTGTGTTGTCCAGTCTGGACTCAAACTTATAATCCTCCTGCCTTGGCCTCCTGAGTAACTGGATGGCACATGTGGGCCACTGTACCAGGCTGGCTGCTGTGGTTTTAAAACTCTCTGGGTGATCCTCCTGAGTAGCCTGGGTGAGAATCAGTGCACTGATGGCCTGAGTCTTTGTTACTGGAATTCATGGTCATTTGTATTCTGCTTTATTTCTACTCAGCAACAACAAGGCAATCTAGAAAGAGGGTATTGTTAGGGTGTCCATGTCTCAGTAGACAGTTTGATGTCTACATGTTACTAGATAATTTCAAACAATTCCCTTCCTTCTTCTAACATATTGGTTTTGTTTTTTAACCATCCCATTCCCTGTAATAAACTGGCTTTTATTTATTAACATGCAAAAACTTTGCGAGTGGGCAATTGAGAATTGATAATTGAGATTGACTCTAAAAAAAGTAGAAACATTCAAAACAGACTCTTCCAAGTAGCAGAACTTCTTAGTAAGTAGGAGACAGCAGGGGCCTAAGATAATAAATGTGAAAATCCTGTGATGGAATTAAACCACCTACTCCTGTGTAGAGAGAGTGAGCTAAATCAAGAGCAAAACTCACTGAATCTGTGTTAAATCTTACAATTCATCACACAACATCTAGGGTTTCCATGGCAGGTCTTTTAAATAACAGTTGTTCATCTGTCAGACTAAGTATCTAAGCAAACAGCAGGCCGCATGTTGTTGATAGCACACAAGCGCTGGAAAATAAAGCAAAAACTCTGCTTCCTATAAACAATAACACTCTCATACTTAATCCTTAAATTCTACAGTTAAAAGAGGTTAACACTTTACATAATGTTTTGTATGAATTTTTATAGAAAACAAACGAGTGTTAGAGCCCCGGGCTTGTTATCAACATGAGCCCAGCTCACATGTGCTTGGAGTTCATGTACCTTTCTACTTCTTTAAATCTGGTGGTAATTTTTTCCCTTCTGTTTTCAGGGAACACTTTTATTTATTTATTTTTTAATTCACATTGAAGCACCTTGAGTTGCATTAAGTCAGTCTTCACCAACCATGACTCATTTGGCTGGGGGCCTTTCTTATGCCCTCCAGGTTATGCCATGTTCAGATCTATCCTGAGTGAAACTAGGTCATGAAGCCCAGCATCATAAGGAAAGAAGCAAAGTCAAAACTGCCACATCACATATTCAGAGATGAGAAGCTTTCTCTCCACGTAGGGCTGTGACCTGATGCTACTTGACCAAGGCTGACTCATAAAACCTTTCAAGACCTGTTGGATTGCCTGGTGCTGGCTGGCAGCAGGCAGAAGTATTTCCCTCAGGACACCTACCTCATCTCCTGACCCTTGGTTATACCATCACGGCCAAAGGGAGGGAACTAGAAAACAGTTGGCGGCATTGCTCCGAGTCATGTTAAGACTACATAATCAGTGAAAATTCACTCCTTACAATTGTTTGTGGGTGTATTTCCCACAACTTTCCAAAGGCTTTTTGAATCAGAGAGACTTGGTCCTGCTTTTATTCTGCTTTGCAGGCTTTGATGGGAGCCTTTGTCGCTGCTAAGCTTTAACATTGGTCTGAACTACACTCTGTCTCTCTGGGCCTTCTGAGCCATGGGGACAAGAGGGGCCAGGGCTCAATCACGGAAGTGATCTGCTTCAGCATGCACCTGACTTTGTTGCTGGAATATTGTTTCTTTAGTTCCGGCATTGCACCCACCCAGCCAACTGACTGAACACCATCTGTGTTAGGCAGGTAGGCTAAGTGCTGACATAAAAGGGTGAGTGAAAAGACATGAACTTAGTCTTTGTGGAATTTACAGTCAGAAGATAATCAATCTTTCCATTCCAGAGAGAATGGAGGGCAACACAATGTGATGAGTGGAGGTCACAGGGAAAGAACCAATGTCAAAACTCTCACATCACATACCCCATCCTCACAGAGATGAATAAGCTTTCTCTCCACTAATCATGGTTCCTACAAGATCCTAGAGACCTCAATAATAATTTTGATCTTAACCTTAAGAGCAATTAAAAGTCAGAGAAGGATCATGTGATTGATTCAGAAATGACTGACACTGGTTACCATCTGTGGAAGGGATGGACATGACTAGAAGGAATGGGGGGATAGAGGGGATCCCCTTCCTATGCCCTTTCTCATTCATTTGATTCTTCATGTGGAAGAGTGTATTCTTTTGGGATATTTTTCCTCCTGCCTTCCCTGAGACTCTGGGACCATCCAGGTTGCTGCTGTGGCAACCTTGGGTACCATGACAGCATTCCAATGTTTCCTGCAGCCCCTCCTGAGGCCTAGCTGGCTCTGCATAGCAGAGGACTCCAGCTCCTTGAGGGCCTTAGTGCTTTTCCTCAACCATGAATGTCTGCTGATTGAATGAATGAGTATGGGGATGTGGTCTTTGATCCCCAAATGGCCTTGGCTTTTCAGGTCTGTAGTCTGGGTGAGGAGGTTATATAATGCCACCATCTTGTATCATTGTGAGCCTCCAGTATCCACCACTGCTTTAGAGATAGACACTGGATATGTTAATCATCCCATAGATTTTTGGGAGGGAGAAGGGATGGCATTGTGTCTTAAGGGATTCCTTGATATGCCCACGAAGCTCTTGTGAGGCCAGGAGGGACGTCATAAGACAGTGGGACATTCAGGTGCAAAAGCCAAGTGTGGGCCACCAAGGTTGCTGTTCTCCAGTTCTTCAGTTTCCTTTTCTTCATCTATTCAAGTCAGTTTCAGTGTTCTCTCAGCCCAGACATTCATTCCCCTAGTATTAAGTAAGGATCAGGAGGTCCTTTCATAAATAAGTTTCCTGATACCCCTCCTTGACTTTAAAGAGTTTCTCGGTTAGATTTGTGGACTGGTTTCTCTTATAACTCTTCTTATTCCTGAATTCTTCATTCATTGAAAGGATTACCTTCTATACAACCAGTTTCAGTTCTTCCTTCAAGCTTGAGGTTACTGATCCAACCCTGGGGCATTGATGGTACTTGCCACATCATGAGTCTGGGGCAGAGGATGGGTTGATTATTTTAGGCCTGGCCAGTTTATTATCAGTGTGTAAAAGTCCTCTCCTTGATGAGCTGGGGAATCTGGTCTACGCTGTTTAACAGAAACCTTAATGTCTCCAAAGCAGACACATAGTCATGATTTCAGTGGTGAAACTGTTCCAGGGCTGGCAGACCAAACTCCAGATCAGCTGGACCCATAAATGTAAGGCAATTTAGTCGATATGACCTCTGTCTTGTATCTACATTCTGATCTTCATGGTGAAAGAGTCTTAGAGCTGCTCAGACCTTGGTTGGATTCTTTCGAGCTGTATAACCTTGGATAAATCATTTATTTTTGTTCAACATCATCTTTCTTACTTTTAAAACAGGAGTAGGGAGGCCTCATTTACAAGATGCTGTGAAGATAAAATTGTATCAAATGTTGAGTACTCAGTGGTTGTTACTCAACAACATGGGCTATGGAGTCAACAGATTTGAATCATGATTCCTCCACTTTCTGAATACTGCATCTCTGCCTCAGTTTCCACATTGATTAACAAAAGATAATAATAGTACTATCTTCTAAAGTTGTCATGAGGCACAATAAAAATAAGATAGTATACATAATATACTTAACCTATGGTTATGTATGTAGTAAATCTTCACAGTTATTCACATAATTATCTCTTCCTGCTTTCTTTCCCTTTCTACTAGTTCTTGGAACTTTCTAAGAGGAAGGTTTAGGATTCTAACATTCAAGTGATTTAATATTATTAAACACAATCTGCTGGTTTCATTAGCTAGTGTTGTCCTGACTCCAGTGCCACATATATATAATGACTCATATAACAGTCCACCGTGGGTTCCTGGTTGATGGGCAGTTTTCTTACACACAGAATTTCATTGAAACTTGTCTTTCATTTCTTGCTGCTCCCTTAGCTGAGCCTCTTTACTGTTTACATCCTCAGATAGAAAAAGCATGTGTGGAAGGGGCACAACTGCTTCTTAAAAGTCTTGATCAGGAGGAGGCACACATCCATTCAATTTTATTGCATGGCTGCATGGCCATAGTTAATTGCAAGGGATCTTGGGAAAGGTGATCTATGTGCCCAGGATGAAAAGGAATCACCAGTTTGGTAAAGAGCTGGAAATTGCTGCCACACATAATTGAACCCATTTCTAGAAAAGATGGAAAATATAAAGTTATTTGTTGCTCGGAAGTATGTTGGTGCTTCTAGAAGAGAACAGAAAACACGGGTGGGCTCCAAGGCAGCTTCACACACTCTCTCATTCTCCTGATACTGTGGGAAACAGACACCGGAGCTTCTACAGACTGAGTTCAGTCCTACCGTTTCTTTTATCCTATTCTATAAAAGAGAATCCTAGAGCCTTGATCATCTTATTTCAAGCATC